TGACCTTTCAGAGAGATTGAGCACCTTTTCCTTGTCCAGGACGCACCATGGAAGAAAGCTCTGCTTTTAACTCACATTTTAGAAATCCCATTCCTGGTACAAACCTCAGCTTATCACACATGCAATATAATGAGGAGTGACAGGTGAAGCTGCCTGTCTTCTCCATTTAATTCTGATGGGTCATGTTTTTCTGAGAGCTCAGCTCTCAGAAAAACATGACGCATCAGAATTAAATGGAGAAGACAGGCAGCTTCACCTGTCACTCCTGCTCATTATCTGTGCATACACCAGTAAAACCACACCATCCATGACTACTACCACATGTATTCCACAGGCACACATGCCTAAAATTGACCACCATGGCACATTATTACAGTATTGACAGGTTTTTTTGGTCCCCAGATCCTCAACTGTGAGGTGGGCATAAAAATAACCTGAGCAAGGTTCTCTTTTCCACTTCATACAAAACACGCTCAGTTCCCGGCCAGGAATGCTTCCAAACCAGCTTTATGCTAGATGTGAACAGGTGCAGATGCTGTTGGACTGCAGCACCCATCAGCCCCAGCCCACACAGCTATAGGAGTTAACACTACAACAGCACCTAGAAGACTGCAATGATTTCCATCCCTAGCCTTGACTGTGTCTCTGCACATTTGATTGCAATTCTTACCACCCCTTATCATTCATTGGCTACTTTGGGTATGGCTGATGGGAATTGCTGTACATTGTGAGTGCTCCCCACCCCACCGTCTAGATCAAGGTGGGCATAAGCATGGGGGGCAGGGACCAAACAGTCCTAAAATCCCTGCAAGTCATACCTTACTTTCAGCAAATCCAAACACCTTCATTTTCCTCTGTAATCCCTCTCAAAATGGAGACTTGAAGGAATGGGGCATTACTTCCTATTGTCATTTGGACCACAGAAGAAAACAGAGGCATTTTGGGATATTGGAAGGTTTGGGGGGGATGTAGGTGCATTTTTGTATTGTCATGCATTTGGAGGTTTTTTTTAGTAGTTTTTGGGCAAAAATTGCAAAATTTTCAAAAACTAAGGGAGGTTTTGGAGAAGCAGTGAGGGGCTTCAGGGGCCAAAGAATTTGGGTTCTGTAGGCCACATGCAACCCACAGGAAGTACTCAGCCCTGGTCTACATTAAAGCTAATGTCTTCTTAGTAACTAGTGCATACTTAGGGGACACAGAGGTTTAATGTTATACGAGTGTATCTTTTTGCTCTGTAGACAGAGGCAGTGATATTTTCTGCTGAAGCCCACAATTTCAAATGAAACAGTTCAAAATCTACCTGCCAAGGAGCCACAACCCTTGTCAGTGTCAAGAGCTAAAAAGATAGCATGGTGCACGCTCTCTGTGAACCTCTGGCGTTTGGCAGCCAAGGCACTTTCTCCAAATTTGACATTGGACAAAGAGTCTATTGTCCCCACCTCTAAGGCTTCACTACCTGCCCTCACTGCAGCCCAGGCCTTTGGGTTTTTTGGTTAAGGCATGCTGACAGAATAAAGAAAAGGCAGCTCTCCTGCTTATCTGTGTTGGAAGCAATTTAACATATCCACATTGTGTCAAAATGCTGAGCGAAGAGACATAATCACTCAGATCTGAAGAGAGGCCACTAAAAAAGAGACCAGGCCAGAGCAAAGAACCATGGAGAGAGGTGCAGCAGGAAATTTCTGCCCCCCTACAAGGGAAATTTCTGGGCTCAATGGAGCATCAAACTGTCCCAGCCAAGATGCCAAAGCACTTCAAAGCTCCAGCACTGTCCTGTGCTACAGTGCTGATCCTGCATCCAAATTAAGTAGTCTTGTTTTTCTAATACACCTAGAGATAATGTGCTGGAAAGGAAGTTTTTTGGACAATGATCGCTTTTAGATGAGTTAATGGTGGAATACAGAGTTTGGAGTAAGGGTTTGAACACCTGCCTTGCATTGGCTTTGCTAGCAAGGCAAGTTGACACTGAGGCTAGTTAAAACTGTTTATTGGCAAGACATCTAAGGACATAACCTCATAAGACATTAGCATTTTCCCTCCACCCCTTGAATGGTGCACTGGTGGTTCAGCTACAAATAAACACCACAGACATTCATCCTTTAGGTTCCCTCCCCCAAAACCATCTCGCTTGGATCCCGAAATCCAATTGATTCATTTGAGGCATCCTTACAGGAGGTGGCAGGGAGGGAATGTAGGGAAAAGAAAGGCAAGAGAGATGCATTAGGGCGAACAGGCCTAGCCCACAGGCCCACCAAAGGACCACAGTGACTTATATGGCATCATTAAACTTGTACTTTTCAAAATATCGGATGACGCCAAATGCAAGCTGGGGTTCTGTGGATAAAGTAGTAATGTATCTCATTATATAAATACTTTAATTTTTTCCTTTTAATTACAAGTAGCTTTTTATTCCAGGTAACGTGACCAACAAAGTACCTGTACATACACACACCCACATACACACACACTCACACAGCCCCTGGGCTTTCACAGAAAGCTCGGCAGCAGCCGATCTAATGGAGGATTTACTACCTCACGGTGAAGTAAGGAGAGGAGGGGACATGTATGGTTGGCCAGCCTAAGCTCAGGGCGAAGACTGAGTCAGATTTAGGAAATGCAATAAAAGGAGGTGGGGGTTAAAAATCCACTGTATAAAGATCAAAGAAGATTAAACAAAAACAGTTCAAAATGTACAAAAATCTGGAAGGAGACCAGTAGAAGAATCCATTTCCCCTCCCCCCAAAAAGAAAAGTGAACCCCCATTGCATCAAAAGCAGAAGAGAACAATGTAGTCACACAATTTCTCTTGTTTGTTTGTTTGAAAAGGAACGAAAATGTGGACAAGGGGGGGGGAAGCCACACGAGAGCCTCATTTTGGAAGAGAGTTATTAGCTCCAGAGACCAGCGTAATTCCCGTGGAGTCCAGATGGAAGGGGACCTCCTGCCACAAAGAGTTTCGTGCCAGACGAGTCGTAGCAGTGGGTGTAAACAGCATTTGGAAAGAAGCTGATGTCTGAAAAGTAATTCCGCCAGGTTTCATCATGATTCTGTTAAAGGAAAGCTCACATCAGTTGGGGCTGCCATGCTCCATTGTCACAATCCTTCCTGAAACTGGCCTGGAGATGGTTGTTCCCAGGGCTGAACACTCCCAGAAGTTTAACTTGCCAATGAAATCAGCAGGAACTATGGACAAGTCCCACACAGAATTCTAAATTGTTTATAATAGGGGGCAGCACTGGAATTGATAAGGGCAAGGAATTTCCCAAAAACTATATACTGTTCTTAGCATCTAGTGTTCAGGCTATAAATCTGATTGAAACTTAGCTCTACTAAACAGGTCATTTTTCCACTCAGAGAAGTTAACAAAAGCTAAGAACCTTCAGAAGATGAGTAGGAATCAGGTAGACTTCCTGATGTTCCCAGCACTCCTCACTGCTGGCTGCTGAGACATCTAGTCCAACAACATCTGGAGAAACATGCGATTACCACCCCTGCTTCCAACTGCTTTGGCAATTCCAGCACTTGGATCCCTGGAAACCTTGCTTGACTTTTCTCCTATGTAACTCCCCTCCCCTTTTCTTTTTCTTTTTAAAGGCAACAATTGCAGCATCTACCTCTCTCTTTCAGCAGCCACAAGCTACTCACCAGCCAACCTTTGCCGGTTGATAACTTGAGAATTTCACTTCCTCCTAATTTCGACGTGCAGCAACTCTGTGGTGGCTTCTCATCCAGGAATCTTTGGGCTCGGATGTCGTAGAACAACAAGGAACCCTGTCCTGTCCCCACCGTAATAATGTGTTCATAGAAGCTCACGGAGCGAATACCTGTCATGGAAGAGGGGCAGCAATGTTACAACAACTAGATTATGGGCAACACTTTTTGTCCACAGTTAGCAAAAAGTGGTTCTCCTGATCTGCATACCTTCGTAAGAGAATTTACTTGTCCCATATCAAAGGGGGATGGGGGGGGGAGAATCACAAAATGGGTGATTACTACTGCAATGACCACAATGCAGCCACACTCTATGAACTGGAGCTGCAAAAACACAGATCAGCAAATTGCAGATAAGCTGAATAGTTGCAACTGATTGAATACCAATGCTGTGGGTGCCGAGAATCCAAACATTTACAACTTCCAGCGGCATTTGGTGACAGCAATGTTGCCATGCATTGTCCCACGTCTTCTGCACTACCATGGGAGATTGATACTTGATTTCCCAGTAAAGAGAAGCATCGGTCTCCGACAAAGCTGAGGCTTAAATCTTTGAGGTCAAAGGCAGGCCCAACAGATATCCTGTCTTCTTTTGCCTCTGGTTGCTCAGCAAGATTATACTGGAGCCAAAGGGCAAAACATACTATTTGTATTCTGTTTCTTTGTTCAAAAATCTCAACTGATGGGACTGGTTGCATTTCAGCATCACAGAAAGTTTTTGTCTGCAGCTTTACAAAAGAAAGATGCCACCTGCAGAGGGAGGTGGAAAACTGTGGATGTACCTGACCTTGCAGTGCCATTTTGCAATTTGTAGCCACTGAATTCCTCACAATTCTAATCAAGACAGAATTAGGATGACCTTCCCTAGGAATTAGTGGGCTATAGTTCCCACTAAAATCTGGGCCACAAACTACAATGTGAAAGACTTGTAAGAGATGATTCAACCAACATGTTTGAGGTATTTTTGGTTCTTCTTCTATGTGGATAGGATGATGATATGGTCACTATTTCACAACACTTTCACTTCATCAACCACTTCATCCCTGTTGGTCAAGATTAAGTCTTGACCAACTTAATCTTGGTTGCCTTGCAAGTCAAGAATTTGTTGGACCTTCTATTGCATCTCCAGTGGATAGGACTAAAATCAATGTAGATACTGCAGGAAGAAAATTTGGGAGAAATATGAGAAGGTTTTGAATGGTCAAAGCAGTTCCAGCACTGGAAGAGATTATTCTGGAGGTGATTGGTTCTCTTTTAGTAGAAGGTATTTAAGGAGCTGAGACTATTGAGCCAGTGTGGTGCAGTGGTTTGAACTTTGGACTATGGCTCTGAAGACAAGGGTTCAATTTCCATTCAGTCATGGAAACCTACAGGGTGACCTCAAACAAGTCACATTCTCTCGGCCTCAGAGGAAGGAAAAGGCAAATTCCTTCTGAAAAAATCTTGTCAAGAAAACCCTGACCAATTATTAGGGTCCCCTTAAGTTGGAAATGACTTGAAGGCACACAACGCTCACACGAGGTGGCACTCACACTCATGGACCCACTGATTTTGAATATGGCATTTTAGAAAACACAAAAAGGATTTAGAAGGTGACAAGGCAGGAAAATGGCAATTGCTGCACTTTTATGTCTCAGTGCTATCAAAATAGATGCTTTCCCAAACTGAAAAGTAAACTGCAGAGTACCAACTATCAGAAGAGGCAAAGGGAGAAAACAGCAGAATTTGAAATTTATGCTTTCAAAGATGGATCCCTCAAGAAGTTCAAATTCTAAACATTAAATCATTCCTAAGCACAAATGCTACCTGCAGCTAATGGGGGAGTTTCTGCCATGGACACTCATCCTTCTTAACTATACTGAGCATACACTTCAAGACAAAGGTTAGTGCTGCTGCATTTTAAATACAGAATGAATTGGATTTCAATACCGCAGCAAACCAAACCATATTATTAGCACACACAGAACCAGAATAATAATTATCTCATCACTCTGAGGTAGTCTGAAGAGGTTTAGATTTCATCAAGTCTGCACTTATTTAATACTAGTTCCTGCCTTTATGCTAGAGAATAACTTGGCTATATATGCCAATGTGTGGTTGAAGCTTCAGCTTGAAATAATGCACGTTTGGTAATCACAAAGGGAGAAGATGTAGGACCTTTACGCTTTCATTTCAAACATAGGAACAAAACATAGTTTTTAGTCATATTAATATGAACAAGGTAATTGTGCTCAAGGAAACTGAACATGGATTTTCTAAAGGGAAGACCATGCCAGATTTTATTCTTGTACACAAGGGTGATAAGACATTGGCAAGCGAGAGTCAAGATACGGTAGATCCTACATTTTTATAAAAGCTTGGATGTGCTCTCTTGCATGATGCGGTCCTAAAGACACAAAGAGTTAAATTAAGAGAAAGGTATAGCTGTTTACTAAGTTACAACACAAGAGTTCAGCATCTATCTGCATGATTCAACTGGAGTATCATGTTTTACTGGATCATAGCAATACCCAAGTAACTTGGGGAACAAGACAGAACTGTAATGCAAAAATTATTTTAATTCAATGGGGAAATGGCAGAAGTAAAAACAAGACATAATGAAGCACAAAGAGCTACACTTCAGGAAGGATGGCTGTCAGCAGAACTGCTCCTTCAGAATCAAAGAGAAAACCAACAGCAGTACATGAAAGAGTATGGTCAGGATACAAACAGTTACCCAACTGAAATTCGGTATATAGAGCTCATGTAAAAAGAACTGTCATTACACTGTGTTGCATTAGAAGGGGAATTTGAAGGGACACATACAAAATCTTTTCCTCACACTATTTGGAATATAGGAGATCCTTGTGAGGAGTAGCACCTTGCCTCCTGGGAGGACCGGAACATGTTTCCTAGGTACATGGCAGACACTCTGTCACTGAAGACATACTGAGGTGCAAGTCAGGTAGGCTTCCAGCTGGATTATTTAGAGCAAACCTGCACAATTTGGCAGTAGGTAGGGGCCAAAATTAAAATAGGTTAAACGTCTTCAGGCCACAGATAGGTTTTAATTTAATAAAATATTAATTAATTTAAAAACTTAATTCCATCCTCCTTCTCCACCCAGCCCTCTCCTCAGGAAAAAGGCAAACAGTAGAGCAGCCTTTCCTGTCCTTTTCTTCCTCTGCCTGGACTTCTCAGGAAAAAGCCAGGTGGCGAAGGAGCCTTGCAGGGTGAGCATTTGCCCTTCCTCCTCTTCCTCTGTATGGCACTCTCCTCAGGAGGCAGCCAAGCGGTGGAGGAGCCTTGAAGTTGTTCCACATCCTCACAGGCCCCCCCAAATCCTTTGGCGGGCCATATGTTGTGCAGGCCTGATTTAGAGGGACTGAACTACTGAAATGGGATGGTTGAATAGAATGTCTCCTTCTAGCAGGGAAATGGATCTGATATGAAATCTCTTCTAGCATCTTCCTTGATTCTGTTATTTTCAGTGGAATTTGGCATATGGACTCAACCTTGTGATGACAACACTGAGATATATAATGGCCATCTTGTTCTTTTCTAGGTTATACTTTACTTACAAACACACACAAAAGAAAACACACTCATAATGAATTTACAGGCAAATGAGACAGCAAGAAGTCCAACCTATATGCTATCAAGATGCAGTTTATAAAAAATGGCCCTTCCTCCATTCATCTGCCATGGCCCTGGCCTCAGAGGGAGAGAAGAACCTCTGGCCTTGATCCCCATTCCCCACTGCCATTCCTTTCTCTTTTTGTGTCATGTCTTTTTTAATTGTAAGTCTGAGGGCAGGGAACTGTGTAATTAACAATTTGTAAGCCGCTCTGAACAGGGTATAAAACCTCCGAATGAATGAACGAATGAATGAATAAAATCACCTTATTTTCACTGTTTCCTACAGCTCAGCAGTCAATACTATCCAGGCACACTCATACATATTCGTTCCCAACCCCCTTGAAGCAGGGTATCTGCACATTATCACAGATCACTATGCATGAGTTCTACAAGTTCCAAAGTGTTTCCACTGAATTTCAAATCCTTACAAAATTTCCATGGAGAAATATTCTGATTAGCAGACAAGTTTATCAGAAAGAGTCCTCACCACTGCCTCGCTCCCTGGAACATACGGACTTCACGTTGTGGGAAGGCTGCCTTGGGTCCAGGAAAGAGACATGGGCCTGAGATCCAACTGCATATACGGACCACTCCTGACCATAAGCCAGACATACATTCTCACGGCAATATGGTAACTTGGTTGACAGCAGCTGAATCAGAGAAAAAACATACAGACATACTTTACAGCTTGACAGAGCCTGTGTTAAGCAGTTTTAGAGCATGATGCTAAACATACTTACTTGGAAGTAAGTTTCACTAAACCCAATGGCATAATTGTAAGCACTCCAAGCAAGTATGTAAAGAACTGGTGTCTTAGTTTGTAAACCAGGCAGAAAGTGTTATTAAAGCACTCATGACCGATGGCCATCCAGTCTGTTTAAAAACCTTTGAAGGAGACTCCTTCATTCTCTGAGGCAGTGTGTTTCACTGTTGAACAGCTCTGTCAGGAAGTTCTTCCTAACACTGAGGTGGAATCTCTTTTCCTGTAGTTTGAACTCACTGCTCTGTGTCCTAGTCTCTGGAGCAGCAGAAAACAAGCTATATGGCATTCCTTCAAATGTGGCTATCATAACTGGTATAAAACAGAGTTCCTCCTTTCAAGACCAGTATTCAGTTCTTCCTGAAAGCCCTAAATTGAGGGTGGGAAGCCTGTGGTCCTCAAGATGCTATTCTACTCCAGCTCCCAACATTCCTCAATATTGGCTAGGCTGGCTAGGCTGCTGGAAGGTGCAGTCAAACAACTCCTCAAAAGTGGCATGATTCCCATCCCTTAATGAAGAAATCTTATAGGCAAAATGATGTTTTTATCCTGAATAAAGAATTAACTCCAGAATACAACTCTTCCAAAATCTGAAAATAGAGAATTCTGTGGTGCAGAAGGAAAGAGAGGACCGAATCAAGGGACAGTGGCTGTGGATGATCTTTCCTGGCTTCATAAACAAAGTCTGCAGCCAGTCTCAGCTCACTTGCTTCTTTCCTCTGTCCTCCTGCTGCTGAGCAGCTTCTATGTCATTATGTTTGAAAGAGAACCTTAATGTTGGCTAGCCAAGAAGGTTAGTAAGTCAGGATTAGATAATAAATCGGGATCAGATCAAACCACTGCTATCTAGCTGGGTAGCAAATCACCTTTGACAACGTGTATTCCGCTTTCCAGAGGTGGAAATACCCATCCAAGGACACTGCTCCCAGCTCCTAAAAGGGAAGAGCATCATCATCAACTTGATGAGTCTCAGAAAATGCCACGCAGAACACCATTTAATATTAAAAGTTAGCCACAAAAACAAAACAAGTAGTTTACACTGGGAATTTCTAACTTCGAACCTCAGCATGGACAACTCAACATTGACCTGCAACTCCTCCCAGTCGCCTATCTACAACATAGAGAGAACACCACTGGTGTAACAAGGGTGTTTAAAGGTTTGCCTGAATGGACAATTCAAAATCATGGACATTTCATTGCCTGCAGTAAGCCACCAAAACACAGAAGGGCATCACTAGAAACAACAATATACTTACAGATGGGAATGGAGTACCCACAGGTAGGTGTGTGTGTGTGTATATATATATATATATATATATATATATATATATACACACACACACACACACACACACACACACCTACCTGTGGGTACTCCATTCCCATCTGTAGGTATATTGTTGTTTCTAGTGATGCCCTTACATATATATATGTAAGCAATCCATTAAAAATCCAGTGTCCCCCAGCTTTCATTTAAAATTAAAACACTGTGCAATAATCAACCCACAAAATCACAGATTGGATGATATCCCTTATTTCAGAAACCAGTGCCTCATTCCACATCCACCAGTGGTGCTAGTGAACAGATGGCAGGTCACATCTTCATAGTTTCTTTGTCAGATACAACACTGAATCCAGATTAGCATGATGATTTGACTCCCATATTGGGAGAAAAACAGGATATGGGTTAAATTAAATAAATGAACAAATAAGACTTCAGTTTCTATCTTAGTTTGGGCAAACGAATAGGAAGCAAAGTATGTGCCTACTTCAATTTCATCACTGCTCCAAGTTCTGTAATGAATACCAACTGTGCAATGGAGACAATGTTTTTCTTATTTCTTTTCTTTTTTAATTGGCTGCACCCTGATTTGTTGCTGTTGGGTATTGCCAGCCACCCAAAGAGAATAAGTATTTTGGTATATAGTAGACCAGACTGATATATACTGGACTAATAGCAGAGATAAAACATGTTTAAGAAA